TCGTGCGTTCATAAATCTTCTTGCAATCGATGCAAAGGAAAGTGATTCGACTTGGCGCGTACAGGACACGAGCAATTGCAACAATAACTGCGAAATATTACGAGCTCGAGGCCGTCCGTTGTTAAATTCAAATCAACTAAATCCTCCATTCTCGAAATTCCGTATATTACACGTCATGTAAAACGACACACGCGCATTTATCTACTCGCGCAAGAGTTATCACACACACACGCGCGCGCGCGCGCGTAGAAGAATACATTGTACATTGTATATGTAAAAGAATTCGAAAACCGAAAGAAAGGAAAACAGAGAAAGAAACCATAGAAAAGGGGAGAAGAAGAAGTAAGAAAACGTAAAGATATCGCGATCTTAATATCTAAGTAAGAGAAATATCATCACGTACACACGTATACACTTAACAAATATAATATGTAGATACATGTAGTCGTTGACAAGCTGTTGTCGTCGATGTTCCTCCTGCACAAGGATCAACCAGAGAAATACATATATATATGTACGGAGATGCTTCTCGTCCTTGATAAAGTATATACGCGCAGGATGATCGTCGCAATCGCGAAAATCGTATTAAACAGGTGAAATTTTTTAAAGATACAAACGACACAACGTGTGATGTACATACGTAGAAGAGATTTAAATGAGAGAGTACGAGTGAAAGAAGAGAGAGAGAGAGAGAGAGAGAGAGACAATACGCTATATACAAGACTTAATTTACATCAAAGAAAGAAATATCGTACACCTGTGGCGTTCTTTCGGCACATACCTGTAAACTTTTATGTATATATATATATATACACATTACATTATATATATACAGGTATATATATATATATACAGGTATATATACATATATACGTATGCATATGCAAGATGTGTATGTACATACATATACATATACACGTATGTATGTACGTGTATTTATCAGAAAAATTTAAACAAGGCTGGTCGAATCGCCTTCATCCTCGACATATTATGATTTAATATATATATATATATATATATA